CTCACAAACTCACTTGGTCCAACCTTTGCCCACCTCGACACTGGGTCACTCACTTAAGAACCTTAAAATGGACCAATTAAGTATTTCAAAACCCACACTCAAGGTTAAGCTCAACACCATTGAGCACACATCAAGTTACCAAGTCTACATTCAACAGTTTAATACTTAGATTGCTTGATGGGGAAGGGACAAAAATGTTAAGGTATTTTTGGGTCTAACGGGCAAAATTGTATTTTCTCTTATTAGGGACTGTTAGTAGACAACCAAGGGTATTTCTAATATTTTGGATCCACCTAACATATATAGTGCCACGTCAACTCGACTATATCACCAATTTACCCTATAAACCCGTCACCTTTTATTTATAAATAAGGTCATCTAGATATTATCTAATCATCTTGCTTCCTTCTATTTTCTCTCTATTTTACATTCATTCCGATCTCTGACTTGAGTGTTGGAATGCAAGTGCAGGAAACACTCTTTGCTTTTACTATTAACCGTTCTTTTTCTCTTTTTTGTAATTGCAAAATTTTATCCCTAAACTCAAAGCTCGGCACAAACAATGACATATAAAAATGTAAGATAATGTGCATGGATAGCCTCTCGTGAAATAAATTTTTTGTCATATCATCCAACAACTTGTCTAAAAAAACCCTGAATTCCTAACATTTTAATTAACATCTAGCTTTCTAGCTTACCTAGTAGGTCAAATAGGATTAATGATCAGTTAATTATCTATCTTAGTTGAGATTAGTGTTAGTAAGTTATTTAATCACATGTTGACCTACACGTATTTGGTGGTTGAGCAATGTCTTTACTGCTTTCTATATAGTACTATTATTAGCGTATTAGTATTTTTCAAATTTTAACTAACCTTAATCAACACTTACTGCTATGAACACCTCTTAATTGTCTCGCAACAAAAATACTTTTGTTATTTTTAATATAAAACTTTTATATACGTTGATTCCGACAAAACAATTAAAAGGATAATAATAATTAACGATGGATGATTTAAACAATTAATTTTCATCGATTATAAGAGATTTCGAATTCTACTTTATATTTATTTTACCAAAAAATATTAATCTAGAAAATATCATTGAGAGGATCTTTTTCTTTGAGATACTATGCTATATAGCATTTTATATAAGTTATATAAAAAATTTTAATTTTAAATATCAATACCTGCAACTTTTTTTTTATCTTCATGTTACGGTCTTTTTATAAAAAAAATATTATATAGGCTCCCCTTTTTCAGCTTTACAGTGAGTTGGAAAGGCTTGGCAACTTGGCATGGTGAACATCCTGTGATAGTTGTTTTACACCTTTTTTAACACTCTATGATCACTGTCCCGATGAGTTAGTTGAGTTCCAACTACCAACTACCACATGCTAAAGACAAAAGAGGTGGCTGGTTGATCGTTTCAACTTCAACAACAATTTTGCAGTGCATCACATGTAGCCCATGACATTGTGTTTCCTTTGCAGGAAAATCTACAATGATCATTTCCCTGGTCCTGTTTTCTTTTCTTTTTGAGTAACATGTAATAGTTGGTCTCTATTACTTTTTTGTGGAATTTAAAAAAAGTTTTTGCCTCTTCTTCATTCCATGGTGGCAAATCAAAACTCTGGCTCCACTCTTTTTATTTTGCTATTTCGTCAAAGTAGGTATTGTAATTTTAAATATGATATAATAATATAAAAACTATAATTTAAAATTTTAATAAAAATTTGATAAAAACTAAAAAAATAAATATTACGTGTTTGATGCATTAACATAAATTTTAATATAATAATTTTTATATTTTATATATATTTGATATAATAATACAATATAAATTATTAAATTATTAAATTTGAAACATCCAACAGGGCCTAGGTATCTTAAAGTCATCTAAATTCTCAGGTTAAGGACGATGACATTCGTAGTTTAGGTGTTAACTAAGAGCTTTTAAAAGCATTCTTCAAATCCACATCATTAAGACCTGTAAAGTGGAATTGAAACAATTCAATTTGGTGTACAAATCGAACTTTTCTTCACCCTCTAAGGAATCCTTGAATAACTTTAGGAGGATGCAAGTTTCGGTCCATTCACACTACTTTTCTCCTCCTATTGGATGCTTTAGACAGAATTTAAGTGAAAGTGATGAACAATTCAAAAAGAAAAATGATTTCGTACCCATATTTTTATTGTGAAAAGACCAAAAGAGAAAAGTGGGATTTTGGGGAAGGTATTGTTCTTAAGCATTGTAAGGATTCCCAATGGCCTGAGAAGAGCTTTTCTCCTTCCTTTTTTTTTTTTTTGGTAGTGTGAACTTGTCTTTGCATCCTTAGAAGTGAGAATAAGAATATTGGAAAGACTGATATTTTTGAAGCGTGGTGGTGGGTGCATCGCCTCCAAATTCCCTTTTATCTCATGCCTCAGGGAGATAATATTGTGTGTAGTTTAATGTGCCAAAATAGTGGTCTGAGAAAACAAACTTAATGGTTTCTATATTCCCACTTGTCACGGGCCTGCAGATAAGAAAATCTTAGAACCTCCTCAAGTGATAGGGACATCCCAGATGCTTCCATTTTAATTATTGTGCTTATATATCTTTTTAATCGATATATATTATTACTACTATTTCTTTATACTGTATTTAGTATCTATTCTTTGTAACTTAATCATAAAAATTTCATACGTTTTCTAATACATGTGATCTTGCATCACATGACAAAAACTTACAATCTTGTATGACATAAATTTATGTCTTTTACCAACAATCACATAATTTGTTAATAAAATATTAAAATTTTTACTTTTATTTATTAAAGTTTAATTTTTTTACAATCTAAATATAAAAAAAAAAAAAAATTCTAGATCTTGTGGTTCAAAACCCAAGTCAGATTTAAATCTCAAATTCTAATTACTAAGACGTCCTCAGTATAAAATTTTCAATGTACTTCTAAATATTTGTATGTATCAATAGTTTTAAAGATGTGAACAATATCATCAATGAGACTTTGTCTCAATGCCAAGAAAGGAAAAAGTCTTGAAACTTTTAGGTCATTATATATTAATTTGTGGGTTGTTGATTTGATTTTTTTATCAATTTTTTCCTAATGTAAATTTAAAATTCTGCAATTATATTTGTAGTTTTTATTAATATGTACAGTTAATAAAAAAATGAAAAATACAACTTTTTTTTTTTTTGGATCCATATGGCAAGGAGAACTTTATTCAATAGATTAATATTCAATTATTGAGCATTTGTTCAATCGAATTAGACATTTGAAAGCCATATGCAATTTGATTAGTGAAAGCAACTCTGAATTTCATAGCTGATGTAGATTACTGAAATGAAATATATTGTTATCACTGTTGGAGCATGTTCTTGGCCTCGTTAGTCAAATCTTTTGCTAAGCTTCACAAAAATGTCCAATTATTTGAACCCCATTGGTCAATGGTCAGCTCCTTGAAGAACTTTGATTTCATTTTGGGTGGCAATAGGGTGACCCTATTATTTCAAGCAACCCATTGCCTGTATCGGATGTTGAAACCAGAAAATATTGCTACAGAGCCATTATAATAATAAATTAATTAGTCCCATTATGAATTTCTCCATTGTTTTTAGTCTTGAATTTCTTTTGGCCGATTGCCCCAATGGTAAGTTTCAGAGACTAGCCAAGGTGGTGAAACTTTCCTTGCTTTCACTTTGTGTAAGAAATTTTCTGCTAATGTGATCAAGGGCTTAATTCAAGTCTTAACCACATTTTAAATTGTCTCAAATTCAAACTTAATCCACCTTGATTGTATTTAAAGAAAAGAAAAAAGTAGTATAAAGTAAGATTGATGTCTTAATCACAATTTAAAAAAAAAAAATGTACATTTTCTACATAGACGGATTGGGTAAAATATTCATGGTATTTTCTTAACTTCAATCTAGTTAATTCATCAACCGTCACTTGATTTTTATTTCAATGATTATCTAGAGGGACAAAATTTAGGTAAGGTTTTTTATGTAAAATTTGTGAATTTTTAAAAAAACATAATTTAATAAAAAATTTAAATTAATAAATTGATAAAATTTAATATGAATATCAATAATATTTAAAAAATTATTAAAGTATTGCTTATAATTTAAATTTAGTTAATTTATATTAAATGGTAAAATTCTGTCTGCATTTTTATTAAAAATATATCAAAATTTATTAAATTTTTTTAAAATTTTATATACTTAATTTATATAATGAAATATTTTAACTTATGAATTTTAATTTTTATTTAATCATTTCTAGCAAATAATTTTATAAATTTCAATTACAAAACTTCATTTAACTCGTTCCCTATCCAAAGTAATTTTTTTCTTATAAAAAAAATTCATAAATATTAAAATTTAAACTCTAAATAAGACAAATCTTTAAACTCACCGATGCTTGAACATTTGATAAATTTTAATTTTTATTTCCTAGCTTGGTTATAGGTTTTTGAGCTCCTATATTGTTTTCCTTTCTTATTTATTAACTTGTTGAGTGACATCAAATCAAAAGGGCTCGATCCATAGAAATCCTAAGACCTCTATTCTTAGATTTGGATTTATGTGCAAGTCAAATACACAAAACTCAATCTTCCAACCAAAACTAATAATCATATTAATTATTTTTCCTATAGGCAGACCGCTCAGTTTTGATCAAATGAGAAAACCTTCACCTAAATTAGAGATTCACTGCCAAGCACGGAGTCGAGACAGATTGAACATGAAAAATTTCCAAAGAACAACAATCAGAGGATAAAAACACTACTTGCAATGGAATCAATTGGATTGTGTTGTTCTGCTTTATAAAACATGGCGCCATCCCATACATTACATCAAAATTTTGCTTGATTAGCACTGTTTAAGAGAGAGAGTGATGCCTTAACCCGTGAAGAAGCAGAATCAAACACCAACACATGCCAAGCAGTTAGATTTAGATAACGATAACAGAAAAATAAATAAAAAGGGACATTAAAAATATATTCAAAAGACAATAGATTTCTTAAATTTACACTCGACCTACAATAATGCAACCAGACATAAACTTGAAGCTCTCCGATGGCCATTGCTAGGAAAAAATGTACCAGCAAGACCAGTCAATAAAGGAGATACCTCTCTCTTAATCATATTAACATGATACAAATTCTAAATTGACACCTAATTGCTCTGTATCACCTCTACAAATGTCAAAAATTTCATTGTAGAGACTACTAGAGCACTAAAAAGGCCTACATGACAAAAGAAAAGATAGTTGACCTAAGAAAATACAAGAAAATTACATGATAGTAGTTCTTTACAGTTCCCTGATGGCTTCCCAATCAATTTCCACTGAAGGGTACTTTTCCAAACTGAAGTTTTCATTGTCTTCCCACTTTGAATCAGAGAAATCCAACAAAGTGATGTCAGATTCTGGTGAACAAGATCCTGCCAATGACTCATCGGATAAATCCGGGGATGACAGTAAATTCTCCACTTTAGGATCAGAAAATCTTGGAGACAGATCAAACTCCTCACTCTTCACAGGGTAATCAAACTCAACCTTAGGCTGTGAAGGAGCAACAATATTAGGTTTTGAATCGGAGACAGAACAGGTCTTTCCTGAATTCCCTTGTTTCTGCAAGCTCTGGCAGATGGCTTGTAGCTTTGCATCCACCGAGGAATGGAGAGGCTTGTAGTCACCAAATTCTCCAGAAATATGGGCTCCTTGGTGTTTAAGGTGGGGGAAGTTGAGCTTGGCAAACTCTCCTCTAAGCTTATAAGCAGCCTTGTCATAAGCCAAAGCTGCTTCTTCTGCCGTATCAAAAGTGCCAAGCCAAAGGCGGCTTCGGTTCTTGGGGAGTCTGATTTCAGCTACCCATTTGCCCCAGTGCCTCTGTCTCACTCCCCTGTAAAGTTTTGTAGGCTTTGGAGGGTTGGGGGAGGCATGTTTCATAGGGACAGCTTTTGGGGAAAGAAAGTTAAGCCTTTGGTTTTGAAGGGATGTTGTGGTAGCCATAGAAGCAAGCTGCTGCTGCTGCTGCTGCTGTTGTTGGTGGATTTGAGCTTGAATTTGGAGGATTTGAGAAGGGGTGAGTTGGTTAAGCCCAATTGAACCTGTTCGCTCAAAACCCATCGGGTTGTTATAGTTAGAGAACTCATGATTAGGAAACAAGTGGGTGCTCGATGGGGAGCAAAGTTCAGGAAACAAGTTAGGCTCTGAAGGAGAAGTGAGTTGCGAATAGTAACAAGAAGGGTAAGAAGAAAAAGAAGTTGGGGAAGAAGAAGAAGATAAAGGAGAGGCAGATGAAGCACTTTTCATAAAAGGTTCAAGTGCTTTCATTAGCTCTTCTCTAAAAGGATCTGAGAAAACTGAGCTGCTACTGCTATTATACATATCTATAGCTGCAGCCATATCCAAAAACTAGCAAAAATTATTCTTAAAACAACCTGTTTCTTAACCAAGACTAAGAACAGGCAATAGTTTGATAAAAACCAACCTTGAGGGACCAAAAATAAACCCTCTTAGCCGACGAAAATAAAGATTAAAACTTTGTAATGAAAAAAAAAAAAAAAAACACAAAAGAGAAACCTGAATCTCTCTTCTGGATCACCTGGCTTTCAAAAAAAATGAAAAAAAAAAAAAAAAAACCCTGGTAGGCAAGGCTTTTTAGTTTTTGAGACCAAGTTTCAGCTTGAAAGACAGACGATGACAGAAAGGGATTCAGAGAAGCGGGGAATTATGAAAAAAAAAAGGGGAATTGAGAAGAAAACTCAAATGATCAGACACTGTTGGAAAACCTGGAAACTCTCTCAAAAATATTTTTTTTGTTGACTCACTTTAGTGTTTTCTCTCTTGCATTTCCAGGCTCACCTCATCTATACTTATATAACCCTCTATCCCATGTGTTACTCTCTCTGTCAAATAGTTAGATTTTTAACATTTTTAATTAATTTTATTAATAATCACTTAATCACTAAATGAAAACTATTAATTTAACTTATCACCCTCCTCGTCAACTTGAAAGATGTCTTTATTCGATGAGGGGGACGGACGAGGCTTCCCGGAATTTGCCATTTACTTGACAGGTTAATTGGCAGGTCTCTGTTTGCAAAGGGTCACTTTACACGTGTGAAGTTGCCATTGGGTCGTAGATTTTGTTGACTTTGAAAGAAATGAGCTCCTTGTTATTTAATGGATCAAATATTTCTCATGATTATTACGAACTTTTGGGCAATGATTTCATGTTTCTGATAGCACCATACTTTCAAATTTGAGAGCAAAATGAACCCTAAATTTTGAATAAAATGAAAAACAAAAGTTAGAGATTTTTGCAATTAGATATTATATATATTTTTAACTTTAAAGATTAAACAATTAGTTTTTTTTTTAATTTACAATTTTGGTAGTAATTATCTTCTAATTTCTTTTTTTATATAAATATTCTAATTTTTTTTTTACATAAATATTCTAATTTCTTTCATATTTGAGCATTTTAAGAAAACGTGACTTGACCGCGGCGGCAGGCTGAGAGAGAAAGAGATGATTACGCAAATGGGCATTGGATTCTTGAGATTGTGGAAGTTTGAAAGCAGAAGGCCAATTTGGGTTGGCTTCATGCCTTCAACACACATTTCTGTGGATCACTTTCTTTTTAATCTTTTTGTCTTGTTAATTAACTAACCTTGGTTTGTGTCGGCTGCGTTAAATGAAATGATTAATGTTAAAATATTCCAAAATCTGATTGTTCCATTATTTCGTAAAAAAAAAATTCGTTCATATCATTTGTGGTAAGTAATTGGATAATCAAACAAAATAACATTAACATTATCCAAATGGAATATTATATGTTTAATTAAAGAAAATAAGGTTTAGATTGGTTTAGTTTATGTTTTGAAATAATATCTTTTAATAGTTAAATTAAGTATTATGAAAAATCAAATAAAACTTTAAAATAATGATAAAATTCACAAACACAATTGATATTAACAAGCATCTTTTGTTATGAATGTATGAATGGGATTGTTTTATAATATTATGAGATAAAATATTATAGTTATAAATTATAAAATCGGATTGGCCAAATGATTATGATAATGATCTTATTCAAATATTCATAAATATTAAAAACGATTCTAATTATATATGTAATGAAAAATATCTGGCATTACATTTCAAGTTACAATTTTTCATTTAACATTTGTTTTAAATTGCCATTTTATTTTTTGTTGTGACAATAATGGAGATTTATATTATTATTGCAATTTATAAACGCATGAATGAAATTAATGAAAAATGAGAGTGAAAAAAACAATTCCAACCTGAGGAGGTCAAACGAGTGAATGGGTGTGTATAAGTTAATCATGGTTAAGAAAAAAAATCAAAAACATTAAAATTAAAAAAAAATAATCTCGCTACATTAATTTTAAAAATAAAATTATAAATTATATTTAAATATCATACTTATAGTCTTTTAAAAAAAAACTTATCAACACTTATAATTTTTTATCATAAATCTAAAATTGAAATATCTATATCAAATGATTTTGTATTTTAAATTATGAGTTATCTCATAAAAATTCTAAAATTGAGGATGAAGTAAAAGAATCCCAAATTCCAATTCCGAACGTTGTTTTGGCAAAAAAAGGAAAAAAATATGATAAAGACAAAACATTGAAAAAATTAATTTTTGCGTGTGGGTGTGCTATGTACGTACAGCATGGGACCTACTTTGACGCACTTACACGTCGTTTCCTAAGTGGACATCACTTTCAAGCCACGCGATGAACCTCCTACCTCGCCCTCTCCCACGCGTTCTTCTCATCTTTCTTTTCCTTTTTGCTTTTTTGGTAAAACTTTTAATCTTTCTATTTGTTACCTTTCATTTCAATAATTTTAATTTAATCATTATTATGTGTATGAAATTTACAATTTATAATGGGCGTTATACATACGCAAATAAGTGAATGATTAATAGTGCATTAAAAATAATAAAAATAGAAGAAATTAATAAATTTACTTCACATTACTTTTTTTTTAATGTTACTTCAATTACTTTAATAAATATGCTCAATGATATCGTAGTCATTTTTAATATTAAAAACCACAAATTTGAATTTCAATCATAATTAAAAAAATAAAAAATTATAAACATGAATTATATTCATTTTATTTTATGTTACTTAATATCAATAAAATCAAAGAGTTGATTCAATTGATAATTGATACGTTAATTGATTTTATATTTGAGTATGATTAAGATAAAATTTGTTAATGAAAAATAATTAATTTAAAATTAATATTATTAAAAAATTACAACTTAAAGTGTTTAGTTAGTTCATATAATAATTTTTAAGAGGTGATATTTAATATATTTAAAACTCAAATTTTAATATTTATAATTTTTTTTCTATTCCAATAAATTGAATTTAAAATTGTTCATTGATATGTCATGAAGTTAGCAAGACTTAAGTATTAAGTGAACTCCTCTTGACATTAAAGGTTAATTAACCTTTAATCATTTAAAAACGGCTCATCGAAACTTGGATAGGACCACCTTTCTTTCACTAGTTTTTATATTTGTGGGTTTCTTCTTATTTTGGTGTTGAAAGCAATTTTGGGCTCAAATTAGAAAACTCATGAAGAATAATAGATTAACAAAATTAATCCGAAAAGTAAAATCTTGAAGTTTTGGGAATGCCTTGAAAGACTTGAAAACCAGTTCATGCATGAAAAAGACGGCTGCCCTTGCTTGGACTACAGTACATTTTGGCTTTTGCTTTATATTTTACATCACTTCTCATTTCATCTTAGCCCTTCGAAGCTAGTGTACTTTTCTTTCCTGTCTTTGGATTAAAGGGGCATTTTCCATTTGTTTTCCCTCGTTAAACCAAACCTTCTGTTTGGATTGACACTCCACCTCATTAGTTAATGTGAGCTTCTTTTGAAATTAAATATATATAATTTTTTTTCCTAACTATTTGGAAACTAGGAGTTAGTGAAATGATCTTGTTTACTTGAATGTTTATGAATCTTGTTTGTTCTCTTTTTCCCTTTTGAATGTTAATGAATAATGTATGAGGTAACCTACTTTATTCTACATAAAATTTTCAAATAATTTGTAGTGATTTAGACCAATAATCTAAACCATCGATGCAGCGGAATACAATCAAAACGAGCAAATCAAAAATTAAACCGGTCAAATCCAAGGCAACGGACAACAACAAAAAAAAAAAAAACTCAAAATTAGAAAATAAACCATAAAAAAAACACCAACAATATATGTGGTTCGGGAACCAATTCTCTACGTCCATAAGCACAACAAAAAAGAAATACTTTTATCAAAGATCTTATAACAAAGGTAACGCTTAATCCAAAACCCACTTACAATTAATCTTTTATCTTTAGTCACTCACCAAAGATTATTAGTCTATTTCCTCACATTTTAATGGTGGCTACTCAACCAAGTCCCAAAAAGAATTCTTTATACTAATTTTAGACAAACTTTAGAATTAATGTTGGACCTACAAACGAATGACACTAAATGGACTTATGAATTAAGACACAAACCCAATAATATAATTAAATTTGTGGCTTTTCTAAACTTGGCTGTTTCAATAAAAAAAAAAAAAAGCAATATACAATAAGAGAATGGCCGTTTATGAACAGGTAACTACTTTTTCAAGAAAATATATGTTCAATCACTCATATTTCTTTGTTTAATTCATGCTATACTTAAGTAGAAAAAAACCAAAAAAGAGGGACTAAATAAGTGGCTTATTGGTTTTTGAGGGGGAAGAGCACGTGCCCCTTCATGTTATTTATTTGGAGTTTATAACTTCATGTGCCTTTCGAGCTAATCCTTTATCTCCCAAAAATAATTGTTCGTTTTCATAGTTTGTCTTTAAAAAAATCTACTTATGAAATTTGAATCCAAAAATCACTTGTTATGAAAATGAAATGATGTAAAAATTGTCTAAAATATTGTAGAAACTCACACTCAATTTATTAGATATTATCAATTTTGATTCAAAATTTTATAATTTTATATCGTAAAAAATACTTTATAAATATGAATTTAAATATCAATTTATATATCATAACTACTTTTTAAAATATCCTTATATGAAATTGGATTGTTACATGTACCTAATGCGTTTCACATTTTTTTCTCTATCTTTTTAACATATTGGTTGAATTATTACATATCTTGCTTTTCTTAAGACTTGTAGTTTGTAGAAGCCTATAGGCTATAACCCAATATACCCATTCAGATCTTCTAGAATATGTCTTTCTAACTGATGCTTACTCTTGAGTTTTTAACCTCTCCTTTCAGGTGCAATTGTTGCTAATAAATAAATAAATAAATAAAAATACCCGCAGCTTCAATTTGGTTTGATGTTATTGCCCATCCCTTGTTAATTTTGTATACTTATATTATTATTGGACCATGGGAATGATGGTTATACGCTTGAACATATATCTTGTAAACACATTATTTTGTCAGAGGTCTTATAGATACTATTAGGCTTCGAGTTTTAATTGGATATTGGACTTTCAATTATACTATTAGATTTTAAGCTCAAATAAAAGGGCTCAAAATGGTTTTATTTATTTTTGTTTTAATTTCATTATTTATTTATTGAGAAATTGAAATTAAACATCGATTTTTTTTTTAAATATGAATTTTTTATTGTAATTTTGTCTTCAAGATTTGAAAATTAATTATTGAGCTTGGATTTGGCAATGTTTGGACTCTAATTTTCCTAAAAAAGAAAAGAGAATTATGCAAAGTTAAAATTAAATCGATAGATTTGATTCAACGAAATCTTTTTTACGAATTTTTTACTAGAATCTATTAAAAAAAGCATTAGCAGCTTAATGGGACTACAGAGGTAATGAGCAAAATTGGGGACAGTAATTAACCTTAAAGATCACAAATTCACAATCCAAAAAA